AAAACTCATAACCGTTCTTTCTCACAAGACCCCCAGGCCCTAACAGGTCTCATCGAGTCCATCCTCATGGGATGATTGCCAGCAGCTACTACAAACTCTCCTCACAACAGAGGAGAGGCAGAGAGAACGTCCTGGGGCCAGACGGGAGACCTACACAGCTTCCCAATGAGATAGAGGCACACTTTCCCTTAACCTGCCCAGAATGGAACTTCAACACACCACAAGGTAGGGAGCATCACCGTCTCTATCGCCAGACTCTGTTGGCGAGTCTCAAAGGGGCAGGGAGACACCCCACAAATTTGGCCAAGGTACATGCAGTAACTCTAGAGTGCCTCATGGAGGTTTACAGAATGTATACTCCTTTTGACCCTCAGGCCCAGGAGAGAGAAGCTGACATAATCATGTCATTCATCGGACAGTCAGCACCCAATATACGAACTAAGTTACAACGCCTTGAGGGGCTGCAGAGATATACCCTGCAGGACTTAGTAAAGGAGGCTGAAAAGATTTTTAACAAAAGGGAGATGCAGGAAGAGAAGGAGGAGAGGCTACATAAGTTGCAGGAGGAGAAAGAGAGGACAAGAGAGATAGAAAGCGCAATCAGAAATTAACAAAAATTTTGGCCACCGTAGTGTAGGAGTCTAAAAATAGGCCTAGACAGGCGAAAGATCTGGGAGACAAAGCAAGACCAAGCTAATGCAGTCGGATATCCTTAAACCATGGAGCACTCCCCTCCTCCCTGTGAAGAAGCCAGACATGGGGGACTATAGGCCAGTGCAGGACCTCCGGGAAGTGAATCGGAGGACTGAGGACATTCATCCAACAGTACCCAACCCTTACAATTTACTGAGCACACTGCCTCCAAGCCACGTCTGGTATACGGTGCTCAACCTTAAAGATGCATTCTTTTGCCTCAGACTGAGCCCTCAGAGTCAGCCCTTATTTGCCTTTGAATGGAAAGAACCGGGGACCAGGTTCTCTGGCCGGCTCACATGGACGCGACTCCTTCAAGGGTTCAAGAACTCACCAACCCTCTCCGATAAAGCCCTGCACCAAGATTTGGCGGACTTCCGAGTCCACAACCCCAATATAATTTTACTCCAATATGTAGATGATCTCCTTCTGGTCGCAGAATCAGAACATGACTGCTTCCAAGGTACCGGGGCGTTATTACAAAGGTTGGGGGAATTGGAATATCGGGCATCAGCAGAAAAGGCTCAGCTCTGTAAGAAGCAAGTCACCTACTGTTAGGGAAGTCCTGTGTATATGTCAATAAAGCACTGTCTGGCCAATAGGAATCTAGATAGGTGGGGCTAGGAATCTAGGAGGATTCTGGGAAGGAGAAACACAAGAGAGTTCAACATGTAACCGCCATGGGGTAGGAGCCCGGAACTATTCTCCAGTAAGAGACATACTTAGATTAACAATTATGGGGTAATTACTTAAAGCAGAGCTAGCCAGTAAGAGACAAGCAAGGCCAACAGCTTCATAATTAATATAGCCTCCTGTGTGTTTATTTGGGACTGATGCGGCTCTAGAACCAGGCGGGCAGGAAAGCTTCACTCAAGGAAATAGCTTCTCTTAACAACCTACCTAGGGTATCGACTTCAGGACGGTCAGCGCTGGCTGATGGAGGGACGAAAACTGGCTGTAGCCCTGATTCCCCCACCCAAAAATTCCAGGGAGGTGCATGAGTTTCTGGGTAGCGCGGGGTTCTGCTGCCTCTGGATTCCTGGCTTTGCAGAATTAGCAGCCCCACTCTACCCTTTGACTAAAGTTATGGCCCCCTTTGTATGGAAAAAGGAGCACCAGGAGGCCTTTGACAATATCAAACGGGCCTTTCTGTCAGCACCTGCCCTGAGTCTCCCCGATATAAACAAACCCTTCATCCTCTACATGGATGAAAGGGCAGGACTGGCAAAAGGAGTCCTAACCCAGCAGCTTGGGCCATGAAAGAGACTGGTAGCATACTTCTCAAAGAAACTGGACAATGTAGCATCAGGATGGCCCCTATGCCTCTGAATGGTGGCTGTAGTGACTGTCCTCACCAAAGATGCAGACAAATTGACTTTGGGTCAGCCACTCACAGTGGTAGTCCCCCATGCAATAGAAGCTTTGGCCCGACAGCCACCTGGTAGATGACTTTCAAATGCACAAATGACCCATTATCAGGCGCTGCTCCTCAACCCCGACAAGTTGCAGTTCAGGGCAGCCACATTCCTAAATCCAGCTTGGGGATCCCTCCTCAATTCGAGGGACCCCAACATCCAAAGAACTCCTACTCCAGTTACATCGATGGACCCACCTCAGACATAAGAAACTCAAAGAACTCCTACAACGAGAGGAGCAATTTTATTATATCCACAACCTCAACAGCCTCCTTCAACAAATCACCAGTTCCTGGGCTCCCTGTGCCAAAGTAAACACAAGGAGGGCGGCTCAAGCTGCCTGAGGGGATTAGAGTCAGAGGGGAGCCACCAGGAACTAACTGGGAAGTCGACTTCACTGAAATCAAACCTGGAAACCTCGGAAACAGGTACCTTTTGGTTTTCATAGACACTTTTTCAGGATGGTCTGAGGCATTTCCCACCAAGCGTGAGACTGCACAGGTGGTGGTCAAGAAAATCCTTGAAGAGATCTTCCCAAGGTTCGGGCTACCCAAGGTAATGGGATCTGATAACGGACCTGCCTTTGTCTCTCAGGTGAGTCAGCTGGTGGCCAAAACATTGGGAATTGATTGGAAACTACATTGTGAATACAGACCCCAAAGTTCAGGACAAATGAATAAAACAATTAAAGAGACCTTAACCAAATTGACCATAGAGACTGGCACTAGAGACTGGGTACGACTCCTACCCATGGCACTGTTCCGAGTTCGGAACACTCCTTCAGTGCATGGGCTAACTCCATTTGAGATCCTATTTGGAGGGCCCCTGCCTATCCTGAGTACACTTCCCATAGACCCTAATCATCCCATTGAACCCCCATCCCTCCAGGCCCGATTATGTGCCCTTCAACTCGTCCAGAACCAGATCTGGAAACCACTGGCTGCCGTATACCAGGCCGGAAATTCCACAGTGCCTCACCCGTTCCAGATCGGGGACTCCGTGTACGTCCGACGCCACCAAGCTAAGACTCTTGAACCCCGCTAGAAAGGCCCTTACACCGTGATCCTGATGACCCCCATGGCTCTCAAAGTAGACGGGATTGCAGCATGGATCCACACCTCTCACGCCAAGAAGGCCATGGCCAGAGGAGGTTCAGCAGAGGACAGGACGACAAAATGGAGGTTATAGTGCACTCAAAACCCGCTCCAGCTAAGACTCTCACAAACTGCTTGATTGTCTTGTTATGCTTAATGCTTTTCTGTTTCCCCGCCCCAACTGAGGGAACCCCACATGCTCCCCAACAGCTGACCCTCACCCAAGTCTCGGGAAAGGGCACATGCTTGGGAAATGTCCCCAGGTCCCACCAGGACCTCTGTAACCAAACCATCCTACAACCCAAAACTAACATGGGCTCTATGTATCTGGTACCCAACAATATCAAGCTGTATCTAACATTGGGGCCCCCCTAAAAAGTTTTATGATTAAAACTATGCCCTAGAGAAAAGGGAGGAATGAAAGACCACAGAATGGGATGTATGGTTTAGCAACCTTAATTGCAGAAGGGCTGTAAACCCACAAAAGGCCAATTCCAGGCTGCTGACCACCTGTGACGAACTGACCAGGGCATCAGAGATGGGCAAACAAGATTCGTGGGAAACAAGGAGATGATAACCACCATTTACTTAGGGAGAGATGATTAACTCATACCAAGGTTTGAGGAATTTACAACGTGTAGGTCAGGAAGACATCTACTTCCCCTGGTCAGTAGTCACGTACCGCCCCCCCATCACAAGATAGAGACCCCCTCCCAAAGGCTTGTGGTTTTTGTCTTTAAAAGCTGATTGTAACTGAACCTCGGGGCCAATGGGTCTAAAAGCTGACCCAGAGGCCCATCTGCAGATGCCTAATTAAAGCCTCTTGCGTGTTGCATCAATTGGTGCTTGGACTCTTGATTCTTGGGGTGACGAATCCAGCTTGGGGACCCCTCCTCAATTCGGGGGAACCCCAACAGTTATAATTCGCATTTCTCTAATGGCTAAGGATATTTAACACTCCTCAAAACATTTATTGGCCATTTATACTGCTTTTGAGAACTGTCTGTTGAGTTCACTTGCACATTTATTGAGAGGCAAGGTACTGGTTTTATTGTTTGATTTCTGAAGTATTTTAAAACATTTCTAGGTCTCTACCCTTCACCTAGAGTGTAGACAGCAGACCTTCTCCCAATCTCTAGGCTATTCACACCATTGACATTTCTGTTGCTGTGCAAAAGCTCTTTGATTTGATGTGATCCCATTTAATTCTTGGGGTTAGTTTCTGTGCTTTTGAGGATCTGTTCAGATTTTATTCCTGTACCTATATCCCAGAGCATTTTCCCTCAGCCGTTTCAGCATTTCTGAATTTAATTTGGGGTCTTCAATCCATTAGAAACTGATTTGTGTACAGAATGGGTGCTGTGCAATAATTTCCTCTGAGTCTAACATCCCTGCCTTGAGCGGGTACGTGAAGCTCATGAGACTCCCGGAGTAACCAGCTCACAAGTCTCAGAATGCTCTTAACCTTTTATCAAGACCCATCACAACCCTCCCACCTCGGGCTTGTAGAAACTGTAAATCACTCCTGGAGGGGCAGACTCTGACCTGTGGAACTGTATACAAGCCATTTAGGGAGCTCCAGGGATGCGGCTTTAACATCCTGTCTCGAAAAAACAAAAAAACAAAAAACATCATCCCTTGGGTTGGGATGGTTCCTCTTTGATTCAGCTGCCATTGAGTCAGTCACCCATGTGCCTGTAAGTAACTCCATACCCACTAAAAGGAAAGAGAACACGCACCACATCTGTAATAAAGAGCCCACTCTGGGATCCCGGGAATTTATGGGAAGAGACAGACAGCAGAGAAGGTAAACTAAGGTAAGTGATGAGAGAGAAACTGGAGGTGGTGCATGATACCCAGTATAGGATATTGCTCACCAGAGAATTCAGAAAAGGGGTTCCCAGAGCCTTGATGAGCACCGTTTGGAACATGGATTTGATGAGCTAGGAAAGGATTTGGTAGATCTAAATGACTTAGACTGGCATGCAAATTAGGTTTATAAAGTGCTAATCTAGAACAAATAAGGAGAGGGCCGAGACTTTCCATGTCACCTGAAGACGGATGTGCAAGATTAGCGTTGAACTAGAGTTCCCACAGAAAAAAAAAAGTGATAAAAAAAGTTGTACTAATAGAGTGTTAAAGCAATACAAAAGAAAAGGACTAAGCTTGTCCTGAGGGAGGACAGTAATTCCCCTGAGTAAATTAAATTGTGTGTATCTTCCTCCTACCAAAAATAAAAATAAAAATAAAAAGAGAAATATGCTGGGGACTTTCCCAGAAGTCAGATATGGCTGATGGAGAGATAATGGGAGTGGCCGTAGCTACAGCTCAGATGGAGAGCCTATCAGACCCAGCCAGACGGAGCTGTGGCAGGCAAACCCAACTGTTCCTCCTTGGCCCTGACCTAAACTGCTTGCGCTGACCCCAATAAGTCCATGGAGGTGAGGAAGTGCACAGAAGTCCCATAGCAGTGGGCCAGGATAAGGAAACCAGACAACTAAGGAAGGCATAAATCTTCATCCTGGATTGAAGCTTGCTAACATTTTGCCTTAGCTGCTAAATTGTGTCAACTGATGATTCAAATGAACTGCTGTGGAGTTTTGGAGAGCCTGTTCACTGTTTGTTAAGAGGTATTATTACATGATTTTGGCATTTTTGTTGTTGTTGTTGTTTTGTTTTGTTTTATACTAACTTCTGAGTGTCTGACAAAATTAGAGAAATCTTTTTAAAAAATTGGTAAAAACAACAGTTGTTTTGCCTCAGTTATTTTAAAGGTATCTTACATGGGTTGGGAAAGGGGTTCCCAAAAGCTGTAAGGCTGTTAAATGAAAATCTCAGAACCAGGGGTGGGTTACCTCTAGGAGTTATTGGCCAGGGAGACCCTAGAGGCCTATAAAATGATAACTGTGTCCTAGTTAGGATTTTTATTTCTGTGATGAAACACCATAGCCAAAGGTAAATTGGGGAGGAAAGGGGCTATTTGGCTTATACTTCCACATTACAGTCCATCATTGAAGGAAGTCAAGACAGTAACTCAAACAGGGCAGGAACCTGGAGGCAGGAGCTGATGCGGAGGCCATGGAGGTGTGTTCTAGCTTGCTCATCACGACTTGCTCAGCCTGCTTTCTTACAGAGCCTGGGACCACCAGCCCAGGGGTGGCCCCACCAACAAAGGGCTGGGTCCTCCCCATCCATCGCTAATTAAGAAAATGTCTTATAGCTGTGGCTTAAGGAGGTATTTTCCCAGTTGAGGTTCCCTCCATTCAAATAACTCTAGCTTGTGTCAAGTTGACATAAAACTAGACAGCAAACACTGCTATTGGCTGTGTGAGCGAAATTTTTAAAGAACAAAACCTGGATGTTTTGACACTTTCAACAAAGATTAAGTGACCAGAGCTGTGTGGATTTATCTCTTCGTCCTTTATTACATTCCTCTGGTCTTCCTGTCTGTTTTTGTGTCAGTACCAGAGTGTCTTTGTCACTGTTATACTGTAGTAGCTGGAGGGCAGCTAACGTGATGACTCAGGATGTATTATTTCTCTTTAGAAACACTGATTGATCTTTTATGTTTCAAGTTTTATCCCACTGTTTTAGCAAATTATGTGAAAAAATATTGTTGAGATCTTGTGTGAATTTATAGATTATTTTTGACAGTATGACTATCAGCATAATTATTAATTTGCTAACCCACAAGTATGGCAGGTCTTCCTTTAATCCAATTTCTTTTCCCAGTGTCTTCAAATTTTCCTTGTAGAGGTCTTTCATTTCTGTGGTCAGGTTTATTTCTAGGTGTATTTTATAAGCTATTGTTAATGGGATACACTTTCTAATTTCTTTCTCAGCAAGTTTGTTATTGCCACATATATAAGATGCTGATTTTTTGTATACTGATTTTGTATCCTACTACTTTACTGAACTTTCAGGATCCAAACATTTTCTGGTTGTTTGTTTGTAGGATCTTTTAAGTATAGAATCATGTTATTTGCAAATAGAAATAATTTAATTTCTTCCTGTCTAGTTTTATTCTCTCTCTTTTTCTCTCTCTCCCTCTCTCTCTCTCTCTCTCTCCCTTCCTCCTCCCCCCCTCTCTGGGTGTGTGTGTGTGTGTGTGTGTGTGTGTGTGTGTGTGTGTGTGTGTGTGTCTTTGTCTCTCCAAGGTATCACTATGTATCCTTGACTGTCCTGGAACTCAATAAGTAGAACAGGCTAGCCTAGAACAGAGAGATCCTTCTGCCTCTTCCTCTCTCCAGTGATAAGATTAAAGGTGTATGTTATCATGCCTATTATATCTTTCCCTTGTCTTGTAGATCTAGTTAAAGTTTCAAACACTGTGTAGAATGGGAACGGAGAAAATGGACACCTTGTCTTATTCCAAATTTTGAGGAAAACAGTCTGTTTTTAAATATTTTACTGGGATATATTAATTATATATGCAATAATTAGTTTCATTGTGACATTTTCATGTATATATATATTTGATAAATTTTGATCACAATCACTCCCCCATTACCCCCTCTCATCTCCTCATCCCCACTGATCACCTTCCTCTTCTTAGTAAAATTTCCTTAGTCTTTGATGTCTTTTTTTTTCCTCCCAGTGAGTTTCAATACAGTTGTTTATAAGAGTATGAGTAAGAGTGCCTTAATACTGGCTGTTGGGGGAAATTTGTTTGTGTTGATTGCTCTGAGACCACCAATAGAGTTCAATCTTCATTTGGAGGGTAGAGTCCATATCAGCTGGCCAGAGTGGACCATAGATTTTCCTGAAAGGTTCAGACAGTGATAGGAGGAGGAAGAGAAGGAGCAGAGGGTTTGCTTGGGATTTTCCACCCGAGAAGTGGAGTAGAGAGCAGATGATTGTGTCTGTGGATCCATTGCTCTGTGGATCTCCCAGATTTATTCCCTAATATTTACTTGAGTTTTATTGTTTAATAAGACAATAAAAGAAATCACAATAAGTGACCATCTCACTGAAAAAAATGACTCTTCCTTCCCTGTAAGCCATTTACTGTGCATATTTCCAGGGAAGGTGGGCCTTCTGATTTCATCCACAGTCCATGACAGGATATTGGTATACATCTTGCGCGTACTTGGAGTTTAAAAACGTAGAATGCACATCAAACCTGGATGTCAGCATCACATAACACACTGACCTTTCTCTGGCTCATACAACCTTGCTACCCTTTCCTCAAGCAATGTTCCCTGGGCCTTAGAGGAAGTGATGTAGATGTCTCAATTATGGCTGAGTATTCAACAGTCACGTCTCAATAGTTCGATGAGTATCTGAAGTTGACACAGGCTACTGCAAAAAGAAGCTCTTCTTATTAAAACAGAGAGTATCACAATCCTATGAGCATAGACATAGTCATTTAGGAGGTAATTCAAGGGACACATGATGTACATTTACTAAGCAACAGCAGTAGCTTCTCTGCTAAGGCCTCTGACCTCTTCAGCCAAAGGCCTTTGGCCATGTTTATAGTATTAGATGCAGGTTTTCTCCTTGGGAGTGGACCTCAAATCCAATCTTAAAGTGGGAGTTATGTCCATGACAGACTTACCTCCACGACACCATTGGTCACATTTTGCCTGTATGCAGGGTCTCCAGCTGAGTAACACTGTTGAAGACAGTTTGTGCCCATCAGCACCTTCCAGCATTATGAGGGCTAGCCAATAGAGAGGAGGTTTCCACCCTAATTCCAGCCTGATTTCCCTCTGTCCTGTGACTAGAGCATGTGGAATCTTCAGCAATACCATCTTATCATCTAGCTCTAGTGTGAAATCAAAAGTGGTCAAAATTGCCCGTATTGTTTGGAGGTCCTGGCGAGGGAGGAGGGGGCCTCCCTGACCTCCCTGACCTCCCAACAACTTGTCAGCATTCAGCCCAGCCATGGCACTGGGATTTTCATTCAGATTCCATGGAAGTCCGAGGGTGTCTGATCCCCTGGAACTAGAGTTACAGATTGTTGTGAGCCAATGTGTGGGTGCTTGGAACCAGACTAGGATCCTCTACAAAAGTAACAAGTGCCCTGAGCTAGCTAACTCTCCAGTTTCATCAACCTCCTTTTTTTTTTTTTTTAGATTTTACTTAAATTATAAACAATCTTATTTTACATATCAATCCCAGTTTCCTCTCCCTCCGATCATCCCGTACCCACCACCGACTCTCCCCATCCCATCCCCCATCCACTCCCCAGGGAGAGTAAGGCTTTCCATGAGGGATCATCAAAATCTGTTAAGTCATTTGGGACAGGGCCTAGGCCCTCCCCTGTTTATCTAAGCTAAGAGTGTATCCCTCCATGGAGAATGGGCTCCCGATATCCGTTCATGCACTAGGGATAGATACATCCTGGTTCCACTGCCAGAAGCCCTACAGACTGCCCAGTGCTCCTAGCTGACACCCATGTTGAGGGGCCTGGTTTGGTCCTATGTTGGCCAGACTGGGATTCTTGAGTTCCACTTGCTCAGGACAGCTTTTTCTGTGGGTTTTCCCAGTGTGGCCTTGACCCATTTGTTCATCACTCCTCCCTCTCTGAAACTGGATTCCAGGAGTTTGACTCAGTGCCTAGCTGTGGATCTCTGCTTCTGCTTCCATCAGCTACTAGATAAAGGCTCTAGGATGGCATTTAAGGAAGCCTCTCCACTATTGTTTAGGGTCCTAGTTGAGGTCATCCTTGTGGATCTCTGTGCAATTCCCTAGTGCCAGATTTCTCTTTAAACCTATAGTGGCTCCCTCTATTGATGTGTCTTTTTTCTTGCTCTCCTCTATTCCTCTCCCCACTCAATCTTCCTGATCCCTCATGCTCTCCTTCCCCTCCTCTTCTCCCCCTCTTTGTCCTACATCCCTTCCCCCTCCTCCATGCTCCCCATTTGTTCAGGGGCTCTTGTCCCTTTCAGCTTCCCTGAGAGACCATGTATTTCTCTCTTACAGTCCTCCTTGTTTCCTAGCTTCTCTGGAGGTGTGGATTATGGACTAGTAATCCTTTTCTCTATATCTAATATCCATATATGAGTGAGTACATACCATCTTTGTCTTTCTATGACTGGGTTATCTCATTTAGGATGGTTTCTTCCATTTGCCTGCAAATTTCAAGATTTCATTGTTTTTTTCTGCTGAGTGGTACTCCATTGTGTAAATGTACCACATTTTCTGTTTCCATTCTTCAGTTGAGTGAGGGGCATTTAGGTTGCTTCCAGGTTCTGGCTGTTACAAATAATGCTGCTATGAACATAGTTGAACATATGTCCTTGTTGTATGAATGTGCATCCTTTGGGTATATGCCTAAGAGTGGAATTGCTGGATCTTGAGGTAGACTGATTCCCATTTTCCACATCAATCTCTTCTTTGATTAGAGTCCTGTCCAGAAAGTTCTTGCCTGTGCCTGTATCTTGTAGTATTTTCCCTACATTCTCTTTTGCCAGTTCTGGAGTTTAAAGTCTCACATGTGGACTAAGATCCATTTGGAGTTGATTTCCATACAGGGTGAGAGCTGTCGATCTAGTTTCATTCTCCTCTATGTAGATAAATGATTTTCCTAGCTCTGTTTATTGCATGTTATATTTTCTCCAATGATTTTCGGCATCTTTATCAAAAGTCAGGTGAATATAGTTGTAAGACCTTGTATTTGGATTCTGTGGTGGTTTGAAAGAAAATGCCCCCCCAAAAAAGTAGCACTATTAGGAGGTGTGACCTTGTTGGGGCAGGTGTGGTCTTGATAGAGGAAAAGTGTCACTATGGAGGTGGGCTTTGAGGTCTCATATATGCTCAAGTCATGCCCAGTGCCTCAGACCACTTCCTGTTGTCTGCTTATCAACGTGTAAAACTCTGTATGCTGCCATATCCCACCACAATGATGATGGATTGAACCTCTGAAACTGTAAGCCACTTCATTAAATGTTTTCCTTTGTAAGAGTTGTCAATTGTTAAAACTAATCATCTCTGACTTAATTATCTCAGTTCCTTCCTATGCCTCCAATCCCTGTTATTCTCTTCCCCATGACTGGTAGTTGGTGATGTTTTCCACTGCATTATTTATTTCACTGAAGTTTTTTTTTTCTAGCATCATTTCAGTTCGTTTTTTCTATCTCTTTTTTCAATTGCACTTTCTAATCTGACATTAGCTTCCTTATTTCATTAAGCTGTTTGTTTATGCCCACTTTCATTTCTTTAAATAGGTTTTAATTTCTTTGACTGTGTCAAAGAAATAAGAACACATTCATAATCATTCTATTAAAAGTTATTTCTAAGTCACTTTGATCAGGAGTCATTACTCTGGGATGTGTGGTTTGAGGAAGAAATGGGCAGGTTTTCTCCATATTTTTATTTTACTCATATGATTGTTTTGCAGGTGGGCCTGTGCATCACATGTGTGCAGCGCCTTCAGAGGCCAAAAGACAGTGGCCGATCCCCTGAAATAGGAGTTTACAGACAGGTGTAGGTGCTGGGAATCAAACACAGGTCCTCTGGAAGAGCAGAGAGCACTAACCACTGAATCATCTCTCCAACACAAGACAAGTTTTCTCAAATTTTTTAATGTTATTTGTGGTTTTGCACTAGAGTTTGCAGCTCAGGCATCTGACTTAATTCCTTGAGGTCACTTTTCTTATTTCTATGAGTGAGCGCAGTGTTCCAGAGGGATCAGATTGTAGTAAAGTTGAGTGATCGTTTCCCTCTGTGCTTCGGGCACTAAGCTCTGTCTCTCTAATCCTACTCTGAGAGCAGAACACCATCAGAAACTGTGTGTCTGCCTTTCGGAAGAGTTTGACATACCTGCACTAAGCATTAAGACTGGGTCTTGGTGTTGTCTTGGCTTAGATGCAGGCAGTTCAGTTGTAGAGACAACTGATGCTGATTCATGAATGAGGGAGTTAACTTACCTAGGTGACAGTGGGCCAATGAGAGGGATACAGTGTTTATGGACAGTGTATTTTTGTGATTTAGAATATAGTTAACTCTGTGGCTGATAATGCTAATTCATTCGGCATATTTATCTCATCTAAATTGTCAGTTCCTTTCAGAAATCTCCAACTCACCCTAGCCTGGAATAGATGCCTCCACTGTCAGAGGTCCTTGTATTTCTTTCTGCTGCAACACATATAGCCATTTATTGAAATTTCCTGTGTAATTATCAGTCCCTCAAGAAAATGATATAAACCCCACAAAAGGAAGGCAGTCAATTACTTTATTGCTGTTGATATTATCAACATCTGTAATATGTCTGGCTCATAGTAGCACTTAATAAATATTTGTTGAATAATTAATTAACAATGAGTAGGCACTGTGTTATATAGTGGAAAACACTAGTTAAGTAGAAAAACACTTTTTAATCAGCACCACTTCCTCTTTCAAGCTTCCTGAGACGTCAAAATTGTACAACAGAGTCTGCTCCCCGAGAAGACTCCAGCCTGACCGGAGATGGCTCCCCACCACATGTGGCTCTTGTTCCTTTGCCTGCAAACCTGTAAGTTCCGAACCTTATTAGAATTCACCTCCTACTTTTCCATAAAATTTTAGAAAGTATGCTTGGGGATGTATTGACATATCCTTTTGATCTATTTTCAGCAGACCATCCAGGGCTTCTGTTTATATTACACTCAAAGCATTGAACTACAGGAAGAACTTAAGATCCAAACTATGTGCTTTATTTCATTAAACCAATAAACCAATCATCCGCCTCTTGATAGTTCAGTCCCTAACTATGCCTTCAATTCCTGTTACTCTCTCCTCCTCCTCCTCATGATCCATTTTGCTGGTGAGGCTTTTCACTGAACTATTTATTTCACTTAAGTATTTCATTTCCAGCTCCATTTCAGTTTGACTTTTCTTTTGTATTTCCATCTCTTTACTTAATCATCTCAGCTTAGTTGTTCTTATATTCATACTATGCCTGGGACATAGTAGGCACTTAACAAACATTTTGTTGGGTAGTTATTTAGTTAGTTAATGCTAGGTCCTGGAGTCAGATAATGGGAAACACTAGCAAGTAGGATAAGAAACAATGCTTCTTTTTATTTTCTTTTTCCCCCCCTTTATTGAAAATAGATGTTTTTCTTATATAATATGTCCTGGTTATACTTTCCACTCTGTAAACTCCTCCCAATTCCTCTCCACCTCCCCTTCTCTCCAGAACCACTCTCCTTCTGTCTCACATTAGAAAAGAACAGGCTTCTAAAGATAACAACTATGACAAAACAAAAGCCATCACACTGAGGCTGGACAATGTAATCCAACAGAAGGAAAAGAGCTCAGCAGCAGACACAAGAATCAGACCCACTCTTTCACACACACAGGAGTCCTATTAAAAAACTGAGCTGAAAGCTGTAACATATGCATAGAGAACCTGGTGCAGCCCCCATGGAGGCTGTGTGCTTGCTGCTTCAGTCTGGGAGTTCATACGAGCCTTCTGAGTTGACTCAGAGAGCCTTGTTCTCCTGGGGTCCTCCATCACCCCTAGCTCTTACACTCTTTCTGCCTCCTCTTCTGTGAGGTCCCCTGAGCTCTGAGGGGAGGGATTTGATGTAGACATCCCATTTAGAGCTGTGTGTATTCCATGGACTCTCTCTCTCCACATAATCTGGCTGTGGGTCTCTGCATCTGTTCCCATCTGCTGCAGGAGGAAGCTTCTCTTATGATGGCTGAAAAAGGCACTGATCTATGAGCATAGCAGACTATCAGTAGGAGTCATTTTATTGTTACTTTTTTTTAAGACAAGTAATGTTTGGTTTTACCCTAGGTCTCTGGACTATCTGATCTCTGGGTCACACAAGCAGTGTCCAGTTTGGGTTCCATCTCACAGAGTATGCTTTAAGTCAAATCAGACACTGGTTGGTTACTCCCATGTAGGCACCAGGTGAAACTTCTCTGTGTTGAATGGGTTGTATTGGTGTTATCCTCCAAAATAGCGCCCCCACTGTCAGTTGGTGGAGAGCAACCCCTTGTGTTAGCCACAGCCTCGGTCACTTGGGGATTTTCATGAGACACCTTGCCTAATAACTAAACCAAATGAAGCCTAGTCCTGGTACTGGAAGCCTCATTTGGTGACAAGACATGGCCAGTTGGGACTCCATCTCCCCAGTTATTAGGAGACCTCATTAGGAGCGCCTTCACATATTTTAGAAATTTTCCACTGTGCTATGTTTCCACGTCATCTCTCAGATGTCCCTCAATTCCAGCTGTCTCTCCCACATTCCCTCCCTTGACCCTGTCTCCTCTCCCTATTCCCACCTGATCCTCCCACACTGTTTCTGTCCCAACATGCCCAAGTTCGCCCATAAAATCTATTCTATTTTCCTCTCCTAGAGAGATTCGTGTGACCCCTCTCTTTTACCTTCCTCTATACATAACCTCTCTGGGTCTATAGATTGTAGGTTGGTAATCATTTATTTAGTGGCTAAAGTCCACATATAGGTGAATGCATACCATATTTATCTTTCTGTGTCTGGATTACCTTACTCAGAATGATCTTTTTCTAGTTCCATCCATTTGTCTACCAATTTCGTGATGTCAGCTTTTTAAAACTTAGAAATACTCCATTGTGAAAATGTACCACAATTTCTTTATTCATTATTCTGTTAAGGAACATCTAGGTGGTTTCTAGTTTGGGCTATGATGAATAGAACAGCAATGAACATGGTTGAGCAAGGGTCCCTGTAGTAGTATCAAATATCTTTTGGGTTTATGACCAAAAGTAGTATAAATTTATCTTGAGGTCGATAGATTCCCAACTTTCTGAGAAACTGCTGTATTGATTTCCATAATGGTTGTACAAGTTTGCATTCCCACCAGCAATGGATGAGTGTTCCCCTTATTACATATCCTCTCCAGTATGAGTTGTCTCTTGTGTTAATAATGATCTTAGCCATTCTGACAGGTTTAAGATGGAATCTCAAAGTAGTTTTGATTTGCTTTTCCCCAATGGCTAAGGATGTTGAACAATCCTTTAAGTGTTTCTCAGCCATTTGAGTTTCCTCTACTGAAAATTCTCTGTACCCCATTTTTTAAACTGGATTATTTGGTTTTTCAATATTCTTGAGTTCTTCATATATTTTAGATATAAGTTCTCTATCAGATGGTGAGTTGCTAAAAATCTTTCCCCAGTCATTAAAACTCTCCCAACCAAAAAAAAAAAGCCTAGGGCTAGAAATATACCAGACTTTCAAAGAAGAGTTAATACCAACACTCCTGGTATTGTTTTGTTTTGTTTTTCCATATGGAGTTAACAATTGTCCTTTCAAGATATGTGAAGGATTGTGTTGGAATTTTGATGGAAAATGCATTGAATCTGTAGATTGCTTTTTATAGGATGGCCATTTTACTGTATTAATCCTACCATGATCCATGAGCATGGGAGATCTTTCCATCTTCTGATATCTTCATCTATTTCTTTCTTCAATATCTTACGGTTTTTATCATACAAGTCTTTCACTTGGTTTGTTACAATTAACCCAATAAGATATTTTATGTTATTTAAGGCTATAGTGAAAGGTTTTTCCATGATTTCTATAGAAGGGCTACTGAATTTTGTGAGTTAATTCTATATCTAGCTACTTTGTTGAAAATGTTTATTAGCTGTAGAAGTTCCTGGTAGAATTTCTAGGGTTACTTATGTATATTATCATATCATCTGCAAATAAAGATACTTTGATTTCTCCCTTTCCAAATTGTATATCCTTGACTTCCTTCAGTTGTCTTATTGATCGGGTAAGGAGAAAATGGACAAGCTTGTCTCATTCCTGACTTTGATCGAAATGCTTTGAGATTCTCTCCATTTAATTTGATGTTGCCTATGAGCTTGCTGTAAACTGTTTTTATTATGTTTAGATATGTCCCTTTCATCTCTACTTTCTCCAGGGCCCTTATCATGAAGGTGTTGGATTTTGCCAAAGACTAATTCTGCATCTAAAGAGATGACGATGTGGGTTTTTTTTTCTTTCAGTTTATGGTGGATTACATTTATTAGTTTTTGTATATTGAACCATCCAGTTATTTCTGGGATGAAGCCTACTTGATCATGGTGGATGATCTTTTTGATGTGTTCTTGGGTTCAGTTTACAAGTATTTAATTGAGTATTTTTGTATCTGTGTTCGTAAGGGGAACTGGTCTGTAATTTTCTTTCTTTTTGGGTCTTTGTATGGTTTGGGTATCAGGGTTACTGTGGCCTCATGAATTGGGAAATGTTCTTTCTGTTTCTATTTTGTGAAATACTTTGAGGAGTGTTGGTATTAACTCTTCTTTGAAAGTCTGGTATATTTCTAGCCCTAGGCTTTTTTTTTTTGGTTGGGAGAGTTTTAATGACTGCTTCTATTTCATCTATTTCATTGGGGGTTATAGATCTGTTTAAATTGCTTATCTGATCTTGACTTAACTTTGGTAAGTGGTATATATTGAGAAAATTACCCATTTCTATTTTATTTTCCAATTTAGTGAAGTACAGGTGTTTTAGGAATATACTTTTGGCTCTCTGGATTTCCTGGGTGTCTAGTGTTATGCTTCCCCTTTTCATTTCTGATTTTGTTAATTTGGATATTCTAGCTCTGCCTTTTAGTTTGAATAAGTGCTTGTCTTATTGGTTTTCTCAAAGAACCAACTCTTTGTTTCATTGATTTTTTTGTATTGCTCTCTTTGTTTCCATTTTATTGATTTCTGCCCTGAGTTTATGTCTTCCTGTCTACTCCTCTGGTTGTGGTTGTCTTTTTGGTCTAGCACTTTCAGGTGTGCTGTTAAGTTGCTAGTGTGAGATCTTGCCAGGTGTTTGTTTGTTTTTTAATGTAGACCTCTTAGAGCCACTTTCATTGTGTTCCTTAAGTTTGAGTATGTTATGTATTCATTCTTATTGAAATCTAGAAAGCCTTAATTTCTGTCTTTGTTTATTTTTAATTCAGTAGAGAATTGTTCAGTTTCCATGAGTTTGTATGCTTTGTGTGGCTTCTGTCTTTTGTTTTCTTTTGATGTTCATGTTTAATCTGTGGTGATCTGATAGAATTTGGGGAATTATTTCAATTTTCTTGTATCTATTTGCACTTGCTTTGTGTCTAAGTATGTGGTCAATTTTGGAGAAAGCTGCATGAGGTACAGAGAAGTAAGTGTATTCTTTTGGGTGAAATGTTCAGTAAATATTTGTTAGGTCCATTTGGTCTATAAAGTCCAGCATTTCTCTGATTAGTTTTTGTCTGGATGGGCTCTCTATTAGTGAGAGTTGGGTAGTGAGGTCTCCCAAATAACAGTGTGTGAGAGTCAATCATGATTTAAGCTATAGTGGTGTTTCTTTTACTACCTTTGGTACCCTCGTGTTTGGGCATATATTTTAAGAATTGCAATGTCCTCTTGGTGGATCTTTCCTTTGATGAGTGTGTAGTGTCTTTCCCTATCCCTTTTGATTAGTTTTAGTTTGAAGTCTATCTTTTCAGATACTAAAATGCCTACACAAGCTTGTTTCTTAGGTCCATCTACTTGGAATATCT